GTGCCAGACCAAAACAAAAATATTGTAGTAAATATTTTACACAGTAATTATTAAATTGACAATGAAAGAAAAAAAATCTATAAAATATCTAACTCCACATGAAAAGAATCTAGAAAAATATTTAGGATCTAAACGTCTTCTTCTTCTTCTCTTCCACCTTGTACCTCATCGAAGTGTCGGGGGGAGATGTAATGTTCGTTGATGAGCTCTGTCAAGAGCACTATTAAGACTGATGTTCATTTCTGTAAGGCTGTTCTTAATGCCATCACTCCATCTTTTCCGAGGTCTTCCACTCGCTTTATACCCGTTGTGACGTTTTAGTGTGGCTCGCTGTGGCAGATAGTACCAGGGCATTCTTGTTAGGTGTCCAAACCATTTCATTTGTTGTTGTTTGATGACCTGTAAGACTGGCTTTATTCCTAGCATTCGTCTGATTTCATGATTTTGTATTCTGTCTTTCCTTGAAACTCCTGCAGCTCTTCTAAGGCATTTCATCTCTGTTGTCACAATTTTACGTTCATTGGAGGATGTAAGTGTTCACGTTTGGCACTGATAGCATAGTATTGGCCAAAAAATAGTTCTGATAAGATTCACTTTAGTACTCCGAAGTATCTGCTTGTGTGTCAACAGGGGAGATAGTTGACCCATTACTTGATTAGCTTTGGCACATCTAAACGTCAAAAACAGTATCTAAATGCAATGAAAAAGATCTAAATTTGGATATAAAAGATCCAAAGTGGCAACACTGCCTGGGCTGTTTGTTCCCTCTCTTCCTAATGTACAATATTGTTCGGCAAGGGCCGAATAGTACGAAAATACCAACTTTGGCAGCTCTGCTTCAAGTATGCAAGTTGTGATGACATCATCACGGAAGGCGGGCTGTTTGAAGAGCCAGCAGACCAGGGCTGCTAATGCTGGGTTTTTCCCTCCAGATCTGGGTTTTTCTTAGAGGCCTCAAGGAAATCTAGGGTTGTTTTTTAATATATCCTTATATAAAAGTGGTAAATGTTTCGTTTCGTAACTATAAATTTTGTACATTTTAACAATCTGGGTTTTTTATTTTGTATTTTTTGTTTTTGTCTATGTATTGCTTGGGTTTCTGTTTAACGAAGCTGGGTTTTTCAAAAAAATCCCATTGGCAACCCTGCAGCAGACGTCTTTGAGAACCCGACAAAATGGTCGAGTTCCATGTCCTCCGTTGTGTCCAGTGTCAGACTTTCCAGGTTTTACAAGTCACAAAAACTACAAAATGGAAGTGTAAAATGTGTGCACTCAAGCAGTCAGTTACGAAGGTGTGTACATCGTGTTTTCTTATTTGAGTTCACTGGCTGTAAACTCAGGTGGAAAGTCCTGGGTGTACCGTACAGTACACAGTACTGTCCTGTTTGTTGTTTCTTTACCTCTATAATACTTATTTATACTAATACTATTTACTAAAATTAAATTTATATTATATTTATCTGTCTTTTAATTCACATTAATATGGCATATGCCAATATGTTTTTGTGGTTTTTTATTTTTTTTTATTTCTTCTTTTGCTTTTCAGAAACTCCCTTTTCATTCCCAACCTCTTCAGAATCTTTGTATTTTTTTTTTCCGTGAATTATATTAAACCTAGTACAGTATTTACCTATTCTTATGTAAATCCTCCTCCCTCGACTTCGGCGAACAGCGTTAAAGCAGTCTTTCAAGCGGGAGTGGAGAAGGCAGAATGGAGATTACTGACCAGAGAGTGACAGCATAAACAAACTTAACCGGAAAGAACAAACAACAATGTTTAGGTTTTAGACTGGACACTGTGGTCTTCGAGCACACCTGTACAGGATAGGCATAAAAGAATCTGCTGCCTGTGATTGTGAAGCAAAAAGACAGACCCCTGGGCACATACTACAGTACTGCCCTAACCTGTCCCAGCAAAGACTGTGGATCTGGCCCAAGGGAGCCGCATTTGAAAGATAAGCTATGGGGGACCTTAAACGCATAATCCTATTTGTGACCCAGATGGGACTCAATGTTTAGCATGACTGATGTCGAACGCAGAAGAAGAAGAAGTTTAATTGACAGGGTTGAATATTTGACAGTTTAAATTTTCAGTGTGTTTGTTTTATATCTTCAGCTGCCAAAAAGGTTCCTTTCCTTTTGACATTTTGGCTCTCCTCCGAACTTCCACCTCATATTATGGCAGCCAAGCAAATACCCTAACAGGGCCTCAGTCCTATGCAAAATGCAGAGTTCCTGCCGAAGAACAAATCACGGCATAACTAGGATCTGCTCCGACTAATGAAACAAATGCTTTAACAGGGTCTCAGCGATGTGTTAATTGTAGACCTGTTTCTGCGACTATGCTGCACCACTGACAGTATCCCCCGCACCGCTGCATGCAGCGCGGATGGGGAGCTAAACTAGATGGCTGGAACTCACGAGCAGCAGCTACCACATCTCCTGCAACTTCCTCCAATTTATTTGCTTATGAGTCCCAGACATCTAGTTTAGATCCTTGCTGTGCGTAGCGGTGCAAGCGATACGCTCGGCGATGAGTTTAATCGGGAAAAAACTATCGCTAATCTGCGTTGGAGCGCATGGTCTCTCCACCATCTCCATATTATCGTCATATTACCTTGCCAGATAATTCAGCATAGCAAGCTCAAACACGAACAAATGTTGAGAAACTCTAAACAGCTGATAACAACTCAGTTTATTGCTTCAACTATGTTCCTCTGTGTCAGTGCACCAGAGGTTTGTTGTCTAGGGAATTAGCTACACTCAGATACATTCTACTTTATTGTCATCAGCTGTACAGGATTCTCACGGACAGCGCATCACACACTTGCACTTCAGTGCTCCTAAATCAGTATTCATAAACCACACAGATCAGCACACAATCTTGCCTCCATTGCATATTGTCATGGATTGATTAGCCAGGTTTCCTCAGGCTGGTGGCTTGGATACATTCACTCTTCTTTTCTCTCAGTTTACATTCAGCTCAAGCATTCCGAACACCAAAAGACAAGATTGAGAACAAATCTGAATATTCTCATTCACTCAATACTTAAATAATCTCTTCTCTTTCCGGTACACTCTAAAACTATTCATGAATTTTATGATTTCCTTGTTTGGCACGCTTTGACCAACTGCACATTTGCCTCCAGTTAGTATCATGTACTCAATTTATACATTATAATTGAGAATCAATGCCATCCATCCTGATTCTCACACATAATTTATGTTTAGTAATTGTCCTCATTTCTAAGTAATGAGAGAATTTACCAACAAATGAGACAATGAACCCTTACAAGTACTATATACAAATCGAACAGAAGGGCCCGTTCCAGTATCTCTTCCTGCACTGACACTGAAGGGCAGAGAAAATAAGATCTTTGTTTAAATGAAAACTACCACTAGCTTATTTCAGAATCAATGTACTGGGTATTGAACTCAGGACTGTTCTGTTGGTCTGCCTGAAAGTGATGCTGAAAACAGGGATCATTGCAGTGGAGCTTATACTGGGAGATAACTCAATACAACAGAGAATGACTTTGATTAGATGCTCAGGAGAGGGAAGGGGACAGATTGGCACAATTGCTAAATGAAAAATGTGTTTGTATTTGTTAGTTATCTTTTCCTTTTCTCCCTAGTCCAGTTTGTGTTGTGTTAAATGACTGCATGTTACCTGCCAACCTGGTCACCACAGCTCCGGCATGAAATTGTAAATAATGGTTTAGGACCCTTTCAACACCAGTGGTGAGTTTCTAGATTCATATTTGGGTCGACCTGGGAGCCAAGGTCAATGGTGAAGAAGAAATCCACCTTGATTTGTACCCAAGACCTTGGCGTCGGCAGGTGAGTGTTTAGCTGCTGGGTTACTGCAGTTCCATCATGTAATTTTCATCATTATCAAGTGTTTTGCCAACTGGCATGGGTGATCATGTCTCTACCCTGTCTGTGATCTTCAGTAGCATGTATCAGTGTGTGAATTGACACTTCTCCATGCCATGATAAAAGGATGTCAGTAATCGTCAGTTGTCCTGTGTCTTTTCAGGTGTCACAACATGTTCCAGTGTCCTTCTTCTCATAATATAACCAAAACATGATGACTGTCTCTTTGTGATGTTTGTTATCAGTTGTCTTTGAGCCCCCATGTCTTTCTAAACATCTGGATTGGGCTTGTTGGCTGTACAAATAATTCTAAGGATTCTGTTAATTCTGAGGATTCTGTCATAAAAACCACATCACTGAGGCTTCAAGAAATTTATTGGCTCTATTTTGCATGCAAACATTCATTTCCTAATCTCCAGTGACGGGGATTAATTGCATGTGTTCTATGTGTAATTATACTTCAATAAACAATACCACTGACATGCTTTTGCACTCTGGTGTAGATATAGAATGACTGTGTATGTATGCATGAATATTTCTCTGTTTGAAGGTGTATGGTCAAGGGTCTGGAGCAGATTGCCGTAGGCATGTGCAGAAATTAAACAGCATCCGTGGCCAGATAACTTTGACAGCTGAAGAGCAACACTTGATGTCTGCAAGCCAAAAACCGGTAACCTCCGGTGTCATTAGTACTGAGAAAGTCACTTTTGGACAACAGGTAATTTTTCTCAGGTGTCTGCCTGTGCTTGTCAATAAATGTGTGTGTCTGCCTGAAGTTATGTATGTCTGTCTCTCTGTGTCTGCCTATAGGTATGTATGTAGCTGTGGTCGAGTGTCTGTCTGCCTGTGAATGTCTGTGTGTCTGCCTGTGCTTGCCTGTCATCTTGCATGCATAATGGAACCTTGAAACTATCCAGTCAAGCTGACATTCTTACATGCAGACAGACCCAGATAGAGACATTTGATTATTTACATTAGCATGTTCATGATGAGCAGTTCCACAAATTACAAGCATGAAAAATAAGTTCAAAAAAATGTATGCTGTCTGATCTAATGATTTAGTTATGGCCAATTCCTGTTGTATTAAACTATTGCCTTTCAGTAGATGTGTGTGTTTATTGCAGGAAACAGTTGCTGGCAGTCGATGGTCGAGCTTTCTTGATGAATCACATGATAAACTGGAGGAGCCCTTGCAGGATGATGTTGATAACAACGGGTCAGTGGTGGCAACAACCACTGACTGGGCTCAGTATCAGAAGACAAGCAACTCTGGCAGGAAAAGAAGAGCTGAGAGAAATTTCGAGACAGTGTAAGTATCTCATGCTAGGTCATTTCATTTACAGCTAAAGTGGAGTGGCGTAGAGGTACAGTGTCTAGAGGTGCAGTATCTACCCCAAACTGTGCAAGTTCTGGTTACAAGTTGTCAGTTTTGTGTTTATAGATAAGGTACCTAAAGATGCTACAGAGAAAATCTTAAACTAGTGTAGACCAAGAGGAAGAAAAACACAGACATCCTACACGGGCATTCTGAGCATCCAGGAGAATTGTCTCATAAACAGCATCCTAGCCTGAAAGCTAAGGTATTTTTGCCATGTTAAATGTCATGATGGCCTGAAGAGATTGGTGATGGAGGGCAGTTTCTAAAAAACACAACAGAAGCAGACCTCTGCAGAAGTGGGTAGAAGACATTAAAAATGCATTGTCTATGAAAGCACATGGGGCTGGAGAACTGGTTAGAGAAAGAGAGACTTTCATGAGTGCCGTGACGAGAGCGACGTTCCTGCTGGAACCTGGAAGGACCTGCTGGTTAATGTTAACCTGAAGATGTTACGTGACCCCTGGTGGTACTTGGTTTAGCTTCATAAAAAGTCACCTATGACACGTAGCAATGATGGGCAGTATAAAGACAGGGTCGGGCCAGGCATAGTGGGCATAGTCACCAATGTCATGGATTAGAGCAGCGGTTCTCACACTTTTTTCGCTCAGGATGGAGTGTGACTAGCAAAACCCACTCATGTTAAGATAAGTTGTCCACAGCTGGAGCTTGGGATTCCAGGATTCTTGTTGCCATGACATGCATTTAACCTGCTGCTTCTCTGACACTCCTCCTAGCCTGTCTGCTGCCATTGTTGCCTTTATCCCTGTCCCCTTGCTGTTTTCCCCCTCCATGCAGCATATTATGACAAATAAATGTAACAACAGAAACACTTCTATGAGAAGAGATTGTGAATTCTGGACTGGCTTTTGTGATGGCATAGGCAAGTGTCAGTAGATGAACTGACACTTGCTGTTAGAGATTGCAATGTGTGGAGAAGCAGAATACGTGCCAACAAGAACAGGTCTATATTGTAGACAAGCATGATCACCCAAGCCAGTTGGCAAGGTATTTAACCCTTTCATCCCATTTTAACAGTGTTAAAAATAAATACAGTGTTACAATTCTGTTTCCACCCTGAGAAACTAGAAGAAGTATGCAGTCTTGGTCAGTCTAAAGAAATTTGAAGCCTATAGCCACCGAACAGTAAGACAACCCTGCTGGCTTTGTCATTGTGGCTTCCAAGTCATTAAAGATATGGATTTTTTATATTTAAAATCATTACTTTGTGCAAAGGTAATTTTTTTTTTTATATTTGGAGGAAACTAATCAGTAAATACAAATGTAGCTAAGAAATAACTGCTTTCCCTCCCTTTGACTAAGAAAATAAGTTTGTGTGTGTGTGGACATAGTCACCAGCAGTACAGTGACAGCATACCCCAGTTAATATGTCCCAAACAAACAAACATTTGTTTAATATGATCATACCTGCAACCAAGCATACCTAAATGCTAATGCAGTTGCAGCTAGTACCAAAGCTGTTATTTGGGTGTATTGGCCACTGCTCATAGACTTCATGTCATCAAAACACCGTAAAAGTTTGAAACTTGCTTTCTGGGGAGAAAAGGGGGAGGGGGGTGATAACTGAAACTATAGCCATATTTTTTACTTGTCATGATATTTGATATTCTTGTATATTCTCACCTATTAGTTCCATTTTTGTACTTGAAATTATAATTAGTATATATTATTGCTATATTGTGTATAACTGTACACTTTTATACACGTTAAATCAATTCTGCGGTAGTATTTTTATGTATTTATTAGATTTTATATAATCCCTGACAAACATAAAATATCAGTGTGAAATATATCTTTCAGGTTTTCAAAGCTGCCTGGAAATAAATCCAAGATTTTCCATGAAGACATCTGCAAGCCCGATTCTCCTGTTGCAAAATGGGATCATGTTGAAGATTTAGAATCAAGCACAGGCTCTTCTGTGAGCAATACATTCAGCAGCAGCAGCAGTTCTGGCAACTTGTTCTCATCCAAGTCTTGTGCTGCTCACCGACTGTCTGTGTCCTCTTCGGTTATTGGAGAATACATAGGCAGCTCTACTAAAGCAAAGCCAGATTGTATTAGCTTTTTAGATCCGTCAAATGATGCCCATAATGAAACCTGGAGAAGTCTGGGTCTCAGCAAGACTATGTCTGTGAATGGTTGCGCAGCAAAGAAAGGAAGACACAATGAGAGTAACACAAAAGTATACTGCAAATTAACTCAGATAACAGCAAATTCAAAATGGGATACATTTCTGGAAACAGAGCATAACAGTGATGAAGATGATACAGTCTGTGATTATAATGACAATGTAGACACTATAACAGACTCTAAATTACATAACAGCAATAGTTTAACTGTGGGGAGAAAATGCCTCATGCAAGAGAAGCAGTTTGTCAGCAACATCCAGAAACATCCATCTGTCCACTGTTCTCATGAATCTAAGCTACAGAGTAAATTGAACAATAGATCCAGTGATTGGCTAAAGGAAAGTAAGCGCTGTGATTGGCTAAAGGAAAGTAATAAGCACATTGATTGGCTAAAAGAGATTAAAAACAGTGATTATCTAAAGAAATGTCAGCCCAGTGATTGGCTTACAGATTCAGAGGTTAAAAGAACTCATTCCAACTCAATGCATTCTGCAAACACAAACAGCTCATCAAGCTGGAAGGGAAGAGGGACATTTGATCTTGATCTTGAAATACTTGATGAGGATCTTCTGTTGTAGCAGTTTACACTCATGTAGATGTGTCTCTTTGTTAAAGATTCAGGTTGCACAGACTCCCACGGGGAACTAATGGCAAGGAGCTGCGGGCGCCCAGTTTGAACAGCCCTGTTCTAGGCCACCACAGATAGGGTAGCGTGGACTAGTTTCCTCCCATGTAACCTTTCCTTGTTAGAGCAGCGACCTGTCCATCTCTACCATGTTTCCCGAAAATTAAGCCCCACCCCCAAGAAAGCTATAGTAAGATTTTGCAGAATGTTTTTAATGTAAGCCGTGCCCTAAAAGTAAGCCATAAGATTTTTTTGCGATGCTTTTAATATAAGCCCCACCCCAAAAAAAAAAAAAAATAGGGGTGGTACGTGAAAGTCTTGGGGTTGATTTCCTTCTTTTTCTCAGCATTCACCAGTTGTCAACACTGGCTGGTTGTTCATCCATGCCTGGACTTTTGGTCTTGCGTTTTTCATGCATATTCATTGTATAGATCTGACTGTTGTTTCCATGCCTCTTGGGCAGATGCTCTCTACATATGAAGAAAACACCTTTTACAATATGCTTAGGGGAAGCTGAGGGGGGAGAGGGTGTTATTCCACCCCCCACCAATTACCCCCCCCCCCTTTCCCCCAATGGTTCCCTAATAAGTTATCATTGTGGCCACTGTTCAGCAAATCTCTGATGTGTAGACGATGGACAGAAAATGGGATGAATTCAAGAAGAGTTGAGAAGTGTCTGGGCAACCACTAGTATCAAAACTTTCTAAATGAAATGAACAAAGATTCGCCAAACAGGCACTGAAATGGGGAATAGAGGGATTAATAAAACGAGGACATCCAAAAGAAAAAACCTTTTAGGCAAACATTGATGAGAGACACCAAAGTTGCTGGACCGGATTTCATTCATATCACAGTGATTGCATGGGATAGAAGGGAGTAAACTGCAAGCCCTATGTGACATATGATGAACGGCACAATGGACAATGAATGAAACATATTTAAGATCAGAAAGGGCACACCACTGAAATGTGATTTATTGGCTGTTGTGATGTGTGACAGTGAATATTTTCATGTTTACAGCATCTATGAATTTGAAATATGTGTGGACAATGTGTTTCAAGTTGTTAATGGCTTTGGGAACCTTTAATACAAGTTTTTCATTTTGTTGAAATGTACTTTTTCTTATTTTGTCTGGTTTATTTAAAACTGGTGCTTATTGTAAACTGAGTTGTCTTGTGTTTTGATTCTGTAAAGGTCAGTTGTTTGGTCCTATGGCTGAAAGGTTCACGAGTGTGTTGAGCCTTGAGTACTAGGGTTTAGGGTATAGTTCACCAGCCTATGGACCAGTGGTGACACCTAGCTCTCTCATGTGGCACCTAGTAGCTGTGTTGGCCGCCACCCCCTGGGCAACAGCTTTGACGGGCTGACTAGACCAGGAGAGGGTAGCAGATCAGTCCAAACTGATCGGTGAGTTAGGGAATGCCTACCCAGCATGCAAAGTCTTGTCTGGATTCGGCGGACTGTGCGGGTAAAACCATCTTGGTTCAACAGATGAAAAAGCCACTACCAGTAAGCTGTGTGGAGAGCCTTGAGCACGGCAAGATACCAAAGAAGCCCTGATCATCTACTGCAGTCAAGTTCATCTTGATTTGTCCTGCCACAGGACTTAGATGGACTTGGGCGAGAGAGTGAAGCTGACGAACTGCGCAACGCTTCCTCACTAAAATCAAAATCACCATCCTTCCCTCCCATCCCATCACCTGTGATGGTGGAACTAAGGTTCCATGTCCGCGGTAGACTTATTTTGTTTTTCTCAAACTGTTTTGGTGGTTTTTGGACAGTGGTATGATAGTCACACGGTTGAAAAGATTGGGGCTTCATGGCATAATTTCCAAAGACAGTAGTTGGTGCATTGCAGCCGAACTTCACTTTACAGATGGAACATAATTTACAGCAAAATGTAGTTAGAACCAATTTTTCAAGTTCTTAGGCAAGCCAACCTTGAGGCTAGAGAGACCCTTACATTTTTTTTTTTTTTTTTTGGTTGACTAATCAAAATATTACAGGGAATGACAACATTACATGTCAGACCAGTCAATAAGTCATGATGGTCTCAGAATGTTTCAGCTAATATAACAGTTCAGTGTCTCAGCTGATATAACAGTTCATTGTCTCAGTTGATATAACAGTTCAGTGTCTCAGTTGATATAACAGTTCATTGTCTCAGTTGATATAACAGTTCATTGTCTCAGTTGATATAACAGTTCAGTGTCTCAGCTGATATAACAGTTCATTGTATCAGTTGATATAACAGTTCAGTGTCTCAGTTGATATAACAGTTCAGTGTCTCAGTTGATATAACAGTTCATTGTATCAGCTGATATAACAGTTCATTGTCTCAGTTGATATAACAGTTCAGTGTCTCAGCTGATATAACAGTTCATTGTATCAGTTGATATAACAGTTCATTGTCACCATATCCAAGTGATCCCCTTTGTAGCCTTCAAAACCAAGCCTTGTCATCTCAAAGGCCACAAATCAGGCGCTGTAGTAGAATCTTCCATTTCTTGGCAAAGAAAATATGTTTATACTCGGGCTGTACCAATTAGTGATTTTCACTATTCAGCCGAATACGAGTAGCGGGACCAACTATTCGGCCGAATACGAATAGTGTATCATCATCAGGTGCCTTGCTGACTGGCGTGGGCGATTTTGCCTCGCCACAGTCTGCAATTTTCTGCAGCATGTATTAGTTCGTGTACTGACACACCTCTATGCCATGCAACAAGTCAAGAATCTTCTCTCGTTGTCTTCCTCTCTCCCTCCTTCCACAGATCTTTCCAGTGGTCACCACATGTTCCATTTTCCCTCTTCTCATAATATGGCCAAAATATAACTGTCTCCTTCTGATGTCTGTGATAAGTTGTCTTCAGGCTCCCGCCTCTTTAAAAAACCTCTTGGTTGCTCTTTTTTAGCAAGATATTCTAAGCATTGTTTTGTAAAACCACATCTCCGAGGCCTCCAGAAATTGTTTTGTAAGGCAACCACTATTCGTATTCGGCTCGGCTGAATACCAAATAGTTATTAGGTCCACTATTCGGCCCCGAAGCGAATATTTGGTACAGCCCTAGTTTATACCAGGTGTGGTAGGGGTGAAAGTTGAACTACTAAGGACCTGAAACAAATGTTGAATACATTTGAAAATATATGCCTACAGAAACTCATTGAATGGGAGGAATTTAATCAAGGTGAAGAAGTAGGAACAAATGTCTGACAATGCCAGATAAGATGGCAACACACTGGGCATATCTTGAGAAGCAACAGTGTGTCACCTAACAATCACTTGAATGGGAAACACGTGGGGGCCGCATTAGCGCAGTGGATAGAAAGCTCGTTTTTAAATCCAGCTGCGGTTCCTGGGGTTCACCCAGCCTTTAGGAAATGGGTACCAGAGTTGACACTCTGGGGTAAAAATGGAGAAACGTCGCTGTAGCTACAGAGTTATGTGCAGATGGCAACACAGCCGGACAATTCTTTCCAGCTGTCCGTACTGGTGGCAGAGCACTTATGGTTTATAACGGTGTGCAATGACGCTGGTTCACATCTCTCGACTTTACCTTACCTTATGGGAAACAAATGGATTGAAGAAACAAGGACTTCCAATAGAAATCCAAAGATGAAAGTCGAGGCTAGTGGTGGTGGAGTGTATTCCGTCTATGGTATTATTGGAAAGAATGCTCAAGACACAAGGAAATGGACAAATAAACTACTAGCTCTGTATGACACATGGTGAATGGCATGACACGTGATAATGGTTCACATATTTTACTTTTCCACATACAGCTTTCTCTGTATTCCTCGGCTTTTCTTGCCAAACAATTTTCCTACACCAGGCTTTTTATTTTGCTCTCATTTATCATTTCTTTTGCTTCATAAATTTCATTTGTATTTTCCCTTATCTTGTTAGAAAAAAAGCAGAAGACTTAGAACAAATATATACAATATTTCAAGGGTGTGGTGGGGTTTTTTCTCCAAAATTTATTGAGACAAAACGTGATTGTGACAAAATGCACATACGCACAGACCACACACAAACTAAACTGCTTAATCCAAAAGCTGATGTCATTAAATACAAAATCGGGGGTGATACAAACAGCAATATTGTACAAACTATATACATCTTTTTGAATATAAATGTTACAGACAGGTTCTAAGAATATCTTGGGTAAAGAAAAGAACAAATGCATCCATACTTCAAGAGCTGAATATTGAAGAGGGTTGGCTAGTAAAGACAATAAAACAAAGAAAATTGAAATATTTTGGTCACTTGAAACGTCATGGAGGTCTAGAGAGAACAATAATGGAGGGGTATATGCCTGGGAAGAGAGGAAGAGGAAGGCCAAGGAGAAGATGGGTGCAGGATGTGGCAGATGATCTCCAGATGGGTGTATCAGACGCAGGACATCTTGCTCATGATAGGAAGGTTTTCCGGAGGGTTGTTATGGCAGCGAGGTTCCGCGAGGGACATGCTACTGAATGAATGAATATACATCTTTCATCTCCCTGCAACTGGCAGAAAAAAACTTCTACAAAACGTCCTTGACAAACTGAAATCAACAAAACAAAAACATAAATTCCTCCTAGATATTTCTTTACTTATACATGCGTATGTTTAATCAAATGGTGCATTTGCCATTTAACTTGCTACCTATTATATATATATATATACTGCTATTAAATAACAGGTTTTAGTGATCAAATGCAATTACTGTGTGAAAGATGAGTGCTTGGAAGGACTGAGTGAATCCTTTAGAAACAAAGTTTGTGGGTTTTTCCCCCTGCAATATGTTAATTGCCTAATAATCTGTTACTTTGAAATCAGGTTTATATAAACATTCTACACATCTCTGATGTTTGTGTGAAACAAATCTTTCATAGTGTACATACACAGGTGATGTTTTCATTCCTGACATTAGTCATATATTCTTGTATAGACTTTGCCCAAATGTCCTC